TTTTCTTTTACTGTGTTTCTTTCCTATAGTCTTAAGAACTTTTTGAGTTGCTGTTGTTTAATGGTATTTTCTTTGCCATTCTGGGGAGGGGGTGTATTTCACTAAGATGATGCCAGGCTTTTATAAATCCCCCTTAAGAGTGGGAATTGTGTTTAATAGTACGTATGAACAGTTTTCTTGGGAGTATGTTCATAGCTTACTTCAGATTCTTAACTCCCTATTCACTTCTCCCTTCCTCCTTCACTACAGTGGTATTATAGTAGTCTGGCCAAATTAAGTGTGTGCATTATAAAATCAATTAGAGAAGAAAAGATAATAAAATAGGAAAGAAAAGAAATGTCAGCCTTTTGATCATTTGTTATTTTGATAATACATTAAATATTTCAGCTGTATCCCTATAGTTGTGTATTTGTTTAAAATTGTTTTCTCCTAAAGAAAATATAAAATATTAAAAATAAGGTCATTTATATTACAGAAGGAAATCTTTCCGCTAGGTGGGCCTATGCTTTTCATTTATAAAAGATTTACCAGGAATCCTTTGAAAATATGCTGTACTAATACATCATATATTCATGTTGAAATAATGTGGTTTATAAGGAAACTTTGAAACACATCTTTTATATAAGTTGAGTTATATTTGCAGTGATTTACCTGGGCACATTTGTACATGTGTTTGTTTACAGTAACAATATTTGAGTGTCTGTTATGGGAAGGGGCACTATGATTCCCCCCAACCCCTCCACTAGATAAGTGTTAGTTTAGTTATTGGTCTGGGAGGTACTATAGCATAATGGTCATGAGTCTTGTCTAGAGCTAGACTACCTGGATTTCAGATCCTACACTATCACTTACTGGGACACTGGGCAAGCTATCTTCCATGTGCCTGAGTTTCCATATCTATAGTACTTGGATAATAATTGGATCTGACTCATAGGGTGTTAGAATTAAATGAGTTAGTATTTGAAAAGCTCTTAGAACACTGCCCATTTTATCATAAACATTGTGAAACTGTTTAAAATATGTAATCTAAACCAGTTGCTTGTACCCATGAAATGATGTGCAAGACTATATATGATATATATATATAAAAGTGTGTGTGTGTGTGTGTGTGTGTTAAATTCTTCAAGGTAGAGGAACTCAATGTGAATTGTATGAATAATCCAAAAATTTTTAAAAATCTAAGGAATGAACTGGATTTGGATAGGTGGAATTCAGAGAAGAATAGGTTTAATATGAGGGGAATTTTGTGAACAAATAGAATGAGAGTATAAAAAAACCATTTAAGTTGGAGAATAAGTAAAATAGAAGCTATTTTAGGAAGATGAATATGGACAAGTTGTAGATGTCTTTCAACACAAAGATAAGGCTTTGAGACTTGTAGATGTGAGCTCTCCAACATTTATAATGGAGAAGCTTATGAATGATTTTATAAAATTTGCCTAACAGTACTTGGAAGAAATAAATATTCAATAAATGTTATCTAGTGTTAGCAATAGTAGCAGAAATGGCTGTAGTATTTCACTGTATGAATTGCTGTATTTGTGTATTACTAACTAGTTATCTATTAATGAACACTTAGGTTATTTTAAACTTGCTATGGGATTATAGTCATAAATTACAGAGGGAATGATAGAAAGGAGATAACTATACCAGCTCCAGTATATTCCCCTTTGCTAGTTATTAGCAGGCAGCAAGCAGAGATGTTGTTAAAGCATACTTATTAGGGAGTTTTTCTCTTGAGTTGTAAGATTTAAAAAAGAAGGAAAATTAGAGGAATTTGGGAAAAATAATTGAGCATACAGAGCAAGATAATGAGATGAGACCAGAGCTGTTTACATATGGCATATAGGAGACTGTTGGTTGAAGAGCCCCAAAAGAAATGTGAAGTAAAAACTGGGTGATTTGGGGGCAATGTGGATTGACAAGGGAAGAATAATGTATTTCTAAATTTCTAAACTTTACTGACAGCCGGGCAGAGTAGTGTGTGCCAGTATTCCCAACTACTTGGGAGGCTGAGGCAGGGAAATCATTTGTGCCCTAGAATTCGAGGCCAGCCTAGGCATCTAGTGAGACATTGTTTCAAACAAACCAACCAGTGAAACACCCAAAAGCAAATAAACTTTTGTAATCAGTTAGAATGGAAAGTTAATTTTGGAGGGAATTTTGTCAGTTCAGTTTAAAGATGTTTAAAAAAATTAATTTATTCATCAAATATTTTGATAAGATTCAGATTTTTCAGTCCTTCTATATGCTGTGATTTTTGAAACCATAATAAAAATGAGTAAGTTTAATTGCACAGCTAATAGTAAGTGACAAAGTTGAGGTTCAGTTCTAAAGTTCCAGTTCTTAGCTCCTATGGGAGAAGTCTTAATTACATTTACAGTGACACCTCAGTTCACAAACACCTTTGTTTGCAAACACTTTAGTTTGCAAACAAAATTGTTGTGGCAAAATTTAGTTTTTATTTGCAAACTCTACATCCGGTGACAAATACAACCACAGCCATCATCCTGAACAAACACAAACATGGCCATCTTTTTCAAAATCATGGAACAAATTAAGTCACTGAACCACTGTATTGTCATAACATATATTAGTCTTCCCACTTTCCGAGTTCTTTTAATATTTTGCCATTTATTTATTTTTATTTTTTTCTTGGTAATCTTTGTTTTGTGTAATGAATGATCTGGAGTATTATTTGGCCTTAAAAGCAGGCATTCCTGGATTTATCCCAGCTCTGCCATTTATTTATATCTTACCTGTGGGCTCCCTTAGCTAATCACTTAACCCACTGGTGTTCTAAATTTTCTTGGTAGGCTCACAGCAAAAAAAATTCTTCCTAAAATCTAGATTTCTCTTCAAATAATTCACTACCCGAACTTCTTAGTTGTTTTACTTTTCTTCTATGTATTTTCTTCTGTATCAGTACACTTATATGTGACTTATTTCTGCATAGCTCTGAATTCAACTTTCTGCTCTTTTTAAAAAAATATGTCAAGCAGGCCAGGAATGTAGTTCAGCAGCTCACTGCCTGCCTGGCAAGCACAAGGCACCCTGAGTTCAATTCCCGGTATAAAAAAGAGGTGGGGGGAGGGAGGAAGGAGAGACACTAAAAATAATACAAATATGTCAACTAACCCTGGATTCTGAGTGTATTTCCTCTTCAGTAACACTTTTTCTAACCTCTCTTTTCTGTCTTCCTAGTCTTATTTCAAGCCTTTTTAGTTTTCCTCTCCAACTTTGTAGGCCTAGTCCTGTCCTTGGTGATCCAGCTTCCCTCCTATCTCCCAGTGTCGTTCTTTGAATATACAAATCTACTCTTTCCCCACTGTTTACCACCCTTTGGTGGTCTTCCATTATCATTGGTGCTATTTCTTAAGTTTTTTTTTTTCTTTTTTTGATGAATTAGGCATTTCTCTAGGGTAAAAAAAAGAGGTTTAGTGCTACATGGAAGAAACTCAAGGAAAAAGGATGTCAAATGAGTTTGAGAAGTACTTGACTAAACACAGCCAGCCGCCCTCTTTTGTGATTATATGTGCTGGTGTGCATTGTGAATAGGCACAGCATTATGCAACATTTCCCACATATACCTGACCATAGCATACTTTTAAAAAAAAGTGTGTGTGTGTCTAATGTTTTGTTTTGGAACAGGTTTTATTAAGACCTATACAAGATGAAGTCCATACTCTCATAGAATCCTAGGATCCCTTGAATTTAGACTTTATATAGTCCTGTCTCCCCACCCCCTTACTGACTGTATCAACTTGGAGTTCCCCAAATACACTTGGAGTTAAGTATTTCAAAGCTTCAGTGGCTTCTCTCATCTGTTAGGAGGAACCCCTACTGGCTGAAGCCACCATTGACTGATCCAGGCAATTGTTATATTTCTTTTCTAAGCACTCGTCTTACAGTTACTTGGCAAGACCCTTCATTTTAGCAGTTATCACATGGAATTGTAATTCCCTCTATGTTTCAAATTCTCTGGTAAACTGTAAGATCCTTTCATTTCTGTGACTTTAGTACTCCTAATAATTATTAGATATACAACAAATAATTGAATCAGATGAATGCAGAGGCATTTGGAATAATATTGTTATGTATACCAGAAAGCATTTGTTGTGTCTTAGACATTGTTTATATTCTTCATTCCTATAAGTAAGGAAGATGTCATCAAATCAAATACTCCAAGAAAAATTTGCTCCTTATTAGAGGAGAAAAACTAAGAAAAATTACTTAAAATTTTCTTTTTAGTGCTGGGGCTCAAGCCCAGGGTTTTGCACGTGCCAGGAAAATATTCTACTACTGAGCTGCATCCTCAAATTTTCTTTGTAATTTTAATAATTTTTTTGCATAACACAGGATATATTTTTCTTAGATTAAAAATGCAAAGAATACTTTGTCTTTAATAAAAATGTTTGGTAACAAATTTAAAATTAAATTTTTCCCTTTTCTCATAACTTAAATTTCACACTGAAATGGTTCATTCGTCTACATTTGCTAGGCTAAGAAACATAATATATGAAACATTGTTTAATATATTTCTTTTTCCATAGGCATCTTTCTTAACAAAGAAGTTAAATATTGGTGGGAAAAGAGTAAACCTTGCCATATGGGTAAGTTAACCTTTTCAACTATATGAATAAAGATATTTGCCTGTTCTTGGTATTCTATTAACTAAGTGCCTTAAGGAATAGGAATTTGAATGTCTCAGACTTTTAAAGTTAACTGAAGGTTAGCCAAATTTTTTTTTAATTAAAAATATTCCTACATTCTGGTTAAGGGTTCTGTTTGAAATACAATTTTATATTTGAATATTTATGTCATAACTTTTCAGCTACAAAGGGTCTACTCAGGGATTCTATTTAAAGAGCAGGGTAGATGGATGGGGACCGACACTTCCCCCAAGTGTCTCCATGTGCCAGGCTTTAAAGGGAGTGGCTGGTAGAAAGTAGGGCTAGGGTACCATTAAGCAGGTGGTCCTGATGTGTGCTCTCTTCCCATCTCTTGTCCCTGTGTGGGGTTCATGAATTTAGGGAAGAGGTTACTCCTGGCTTATAATGCAGTATTGACCGTTTTGATTCTCTGGCAACAGAACTGGGGTTTTGTTTGTTTGTTTTAGTGGGGATAAGAATGCTTCCGAAGAGAAGAGTTGGGAGGAAGACAGTAACATTTGTATAGTAGCAACATTGCATAGGGCTTATAACTTGACTTTAAAAGTAACTTTTTTTGTAAAATTTTTTTTGAATAGTGTTTAAACCTTTATTTTAATAAATAAAATAGAGGAATAGTGTTTTGAGGCAGAATAGCGTTTTGGTGTTATCTAGCTTTATGCCCTAATTTCCAATTAATTAGAGGTTGAAATAGATGAATCTTTTTGTTCCTATCTAATATTTATTGCTTTGTTTAGGACACAGCAGGTCAAGAGAGATTTCATGCATTGGGTCCAATTTACTACAGAGATTCAAATGGAGCCATTTTAGTTTATGATATAACAGATGAAGATTCTTTTCAGAAGGTATTCTGTTTTCTTTATGAAGTTACTTAGAACAAAACTGATTTCTAACATGTCTTTTAATATGTGTTTGTTCACCAGTATTGTTTTTTAAAACTTTTAAAAGTATATCATTTATGCATAAATGAGGACCATTCAATTTTTTTATTGAAGTATTTACACTAGGGTATTTGATGGTTTTTTGCATGGCTTTCTCAAATATTAGAGAAGGGAAATAAAGTTAAGCTTTAGAAAAATACATTTCTTTGATTCGAAACATATTGGGCACCAGAAAATTTGGTGTGATTGCACAGGCTCATTTACTGTGAAAAGAAAAAAGTAGAGCAAAATCAAGTTTAAAGTCTTTCTCTTCAACAAATATCCTGGAAGATATAGTAAAATCCTTAAAAAGACACTCTAGTGCTTATTTAAAGTTTCTTCATTTTTAAAAACTTTTTAAAATTACCAACAAATGTGAGGATTTTAAAGTTGTTTTGGGACCAAAAAATTAGTTAACATTGAAATTACCTTTGAATTCTCATTATGGGCAGGATGGGTTACTTATTTGACCTTTCCTCCTAAAGCCTTTTTTGGAATAAATTTTTCAGCAGTGTGTAATGAAATGGGATAATTTCTAAGGCAGAAGCTTTTCTTGCTATGAATTTACAGGTTCTTGTTGAAATTGTCTTTTTAGTTTAGTTTTTTTTTTTTTTTTTTTTTTTTTTTTTTTTTTTTTGCCGAGGATCGAACTCGGGTTCTTGCACTTGTGAGGCAGGCCACTGAACCGCTGAGCTAAATCCCCGGCCCAGTTTAGTTTTTGTTTTATTTGTTTTCTCTTCATTTTTTTCCAATTAAATAATAGAGCAGATGCACACGTTAGCTTTTGGACTGTTAATTACATGGCAAAGTAGTCTAGAGAGCAGGGAAATGAAAGGTAAGTAGCTTGCTAATTCAACAGTTATTTGGGGGTCTGCTGTTTGAAACTATTTTTTTGGTCCCTTCCTGACTTTCTGCATAAAAAGAAATGATTTAAGCCAGGGATTTAGCTCAGTAGTACCATGCCTGCCTTGTAGTACAAAGTCCTGAGTTCTATCCCTGGTACCAAAAATAAAAATTTTTTTTTAAAAATCAAAAACAGAAAGGGTTTAAGTGATTCATTGATTAAAAGAAAATTGAATCTTTTGGGTAGAAAAGTGACAAGTTAAGTTATTGACAGCTATCTTATAAAACTCTCAAAGTTTAGTGGTTTAAAAATGATGATTGAGGAAATTACTCTTCTTGGGGTTGACCAGGAAGGCAGATCCTCTGCTGTATATATGTAGCAGTGGAATCACTCATTGAACTGGGAATGGGACTGGGGTTGGAATGTCCAAAAATACCTAGTTTTCTTCATATAGCCTGCCATTCCTTCTGGTACTCCCCCCACACACCCTCATCATTCTGTATTCTGTCCTAAGTGCTTTCTTTATGTAATAACTGGATTACCAGAGTATAAAAAGTAGAAGCTACCAGGTCTTCTTAAGACTTAAGTCTGTAACTGACTGAGCATTACTTCTGTCACATACTCTTGGTCAAAGCAAGTTACCAGGACAGCTGTAATTCAGAGATTGAGAATCTCACGTGATTTGATGGAAGAATGAGTAGACAATCACTAATTTATCACAAAATATATGGGGACTAGGATTAGGATACTTGTAGAAGAGGATCTAATGGGAGATGAGTAAACAATTATTTTATTTCATTTATGGTGATGGGGACAGAACCTCTGGCCTTTATCCATGTTAGGCAGGTAATCTAACATTGAGCTACAACTCCAGCTCCAGTAACAATGTTTTTAAAAATTGGTTAGTTTAGTAAGTTGTGATACTGTGTGACTAAGGAGTAGAATAATATGTTAATTGGATTCTGATATTTCTTTTGAGGCAGTGAGAATGTGTGCCTCAGGAGGAATAAAACCAATGCTGTCTTTTTTTTATATTAAATTGACTAAGTTAAATACTTTGAAAACTTTATACGTACATATATAGGTATGTACTTTATACATATACATTTATATATACATATACATATATATTATATATATTTATTTATTTATATAAAATGAAACAAAAAAAGGAGGCTGTACCAAGAAAACTGGTTCATTCTGTTTTAAACATAAGGTGATGATGATACTTACCTTGGCTTTTATAAGGATTTTGGGTTTCTAAAGATAGTTTCTTTGCATTCTTGCAAAGCGTTGGAGATTGGAACTGTTACATTTGTACTGTAGGACCAGATGACAGTAAGTGCTTACTACTAATCTAATGTAATCTTTGCAATTTATAGATGTGTGTGTATTTTTTTGAGGAATGTATATAAATTTTCTGAGATTTGATTGCCTATAGATTGTTTGATTACAAGAAATGAAAGCCTAATTTGTTCTGTATCATATGGTTTTATTGTAATCCTGCTATTTTATGGTAATATTTAAAAACATAAATTAAAAAGATTAATTTGCTTGGTTCCAGTGTACTCCCACCTGTGTTTACTGCTGTAATTCATGGATAGTGGATCTCTGTTCTAGAGTTCTGTTTACCATTGGTTTTCTACCACAATAAGAACAGATCTTTCCGCTGTGTTTGTATTTATGTGGTTTGCAATATTATGTGGTAATATTAGATTATTAAGTCAGTCATTCATATTAATCTCTAAATACATAAGCTGTTACACAAAATTCTGAAGTATTTTCACAATGTTGAGTTCTTAGATGTTCTAACAGGATTTGTTTTACTATTTACTGTTTCATATACACAGGTAAAAAACTGGGTGAAAGAATTACGGAAAATGTTGGGAAATGAAATCTGTTTATGTATAGTTGGTAAGCATCATTCTTTCTTTAAAATGTTCTTTGTTATTAAAGACATAGTAAGCAAGCATTCTTGTCTTTGAGAAAAGAAGAATTATGTCATGTTAATGTTTAGTATTTTAGAATACTTTAAGATGTGGAGGTGATATTCTAGGAAATTCAAATGCTACTTCAGGGAATTCCTTGGATAAGATACAGAAGTTAAACATGTGAAGCTTCAGCTTCCCCAGTCTTTCTTCGTTTCAATCCTTACTTCATAGTATTTTCTTCATATGGGCTGATACCATACTCCTGTAACCTTCACTTACTGGTTTCTTTTGTGAGGTGTGTGTGTGTGTGTGTGTTGTATAAATGGACATGTGGTGCTAGTGGTTCAACCCAAGGCCTCACATGTGCTGGGCAAGTACTTAAATATTGAGCTGTGTCCTCAGCCTCACTTAGTGATTTTTTAAATGAACATTTTGTTTGTTTGTTTTTTGAGACAAAGTCTCACTGTGTATTTCAGACTAGCATTGAATTCGCTGTGTAGCCCAGGGTGGCCTCAACCTCTCAGTGATCCTCTTGCCTAGGTTTCTGGAGTACTAGTATTGCACAGGCATGGGCACGATGGTGCTAGGAGCATGTACCACTATGCCCATCTCTTTGAACATTTTGTTGAAAATGACACGTTTGCAGAAAAGCATACAAATTTCTGTTAACAATATAATTTTCACACAATGAAAATTTCACAAAGTGTAAATGGTGCCCTTGGGGCCCTACTTTGCCCCTATATTGCATCTTTGTTATCTCAATGCTATCAGTTACCTCCCTTTTACACCCCCACCCCAGCTACTGTCCTGACTTTTTACTGCATAATTTAATTTTGTTTTAAATTTTATGTTAATGGAATCATACTGTGGACTCACTCCTTTTCATGCCCAGCTTTGGCTTTATGTTTTGTTTACCAGGTTCCTTTAAGTTCTTGTGTGTAGTGGTGGGGTACTCTTTGTTGTACTTTATTCTTGAATATTCCAGTTTATCTTTTTTGTGATTATTCTCTTCCCTGTAGTATTCAGTGTTTCTCTTCCGTATTACTACTAACTTACAGGATTGTAGTGAAGATAGTATATGATGTGTTAGAGACATCAACATTTGAGAAGCACTTACTCTTTTCTCTATATATTAGACAACTTGTCAAACATTTGAAGAATACCTGAGTAGTTCATATGTTCTTACAGTCTTTAGATCTCAACTGTTTTTCATTTGGCTTATCTTCCAGAGATTCTCCTCATTGTGATTATTTTCTTTTCAGGTTAATTCTAGTATGTCTCCTACATTTGAAATAAACACTAGAATCCAAATGTTGAGCCAATATGTACGTATGCGGTGCCCCCCCCTTAATTGACAGAGTTTCACTGTGTTTAAATTGCTCAGGCTGACCTGAAACTCCTGAGCTTGAATGATCCCAATATTTTAGCCTCTCAAGTATGCATCTGAGACTGTAGGTGCACACCACCACACTGGGCTTCTCTCTGTTTTTATATGTTCACATGCCTATCAAGATTGGTGAAGATTACAAAAACTTTTTCAGCCATGTCAACTCACTATTTCAATTAAAAATCTGAATTTTTCTTTTTATAAATCAGTTCACTCAGATTTTTCCTATCTTGTGCTTATGCAACTGTGTAATTTAAACCTATAGGAATTTCATATATCTTTGAACTTTATGTTTGATATACAGTGTCTTTCCTTGTTCATGAGTAAATTGAATATTTAACCTTCTACATTCTATAAGTCACTGAAGACCATATGTTAATCAGTTGCAGAGAAACCCATACTTCACTAGCAGACTTCTCCCTCTTGGTTGCTTTTAATCCACTCTTAGCTATGATGGTTTTACTCCCTAGTATTCTGCATCTAGTCTCTCCTTAACATTTTTATGGGGCCAGGGATTTAGCTCAGCGGTTCAGTGGCCTGCCTCACAAGCGCAAGGAGCCGAGTTTGATCCCCGGTACCAAAAAAATGTAATCATTATGAACATTTTTATGTTTGTTTACTAATATATATTTATCACTAATTATAGTTACCATTTATGCTCCAGGCACTGTTCTGCCAACTGTATATTTATTTCATTTATAGCTTCTGGGATGCTACAGGAAGATCACTTCTACTTTACAGATTCCAGTTCTTTATCATTATTAGGCCATCCACTCTTAGCAATGGACATTTTTCTTCCATATTCTGAGGAGGGGGTTGGGAATCAAACTTGGGGCTTTGCTTATCCTAAGCAGGTTCTCTGCCATCTCCTTCCTTGGGACCTTGTACTTGCAAGGCAGGCAGTGGAACCACTGAGCTAAATATCCAGCCCTTCACATATTTATTCAAATATGTATTTTTAAAGATGGTAAAGTGTTTTATTTTGTTTTTGTTTTTCATTTTTTGTTGAGACAGGGTCTCATTAGGTAACCCAGGCTAGACTGAAACTTAGGATCCTCCTGGCTCACTCTCCTGAAAGCTGGGATTATAGTCCTGAGCCACCATGCCTGTTTTTTTCTTTATTCTGCTATATAACAGAGTGGCTTTCCCCCTTTCTTGGCCTGTATGGATGTGTGTGTGGGTATGTGGGTGTTTAACCTTCATAGTACTATACCTTGAAATAGGTGCTAACTATGGTGGTTGTCCTCACTTTGAGGTTTTTTAAGCCTATCAGAAAATTCCTTGATTCCTATGTATTTGCAGAGTAGTATCGAAACTGACAGGAGCCTCAGAGACTTGGTTCTGTAGATTTCTTTCTTTTGAAAGAAGGTAGAAACTACAAAAAAGGGTTTGTTTGTTTGTTTGTTTGGTACGGGGTTCAAACTCAGGACCTTGTGCTTGCAAGGCAGGTGTGGTACCACTGCACTGAATCCCTGGCCCCACAAAAACTTTTAAGCTTTGGAAGGTTATCAGTCATGCGCAGGTCATTTTTCTGTAACATAGTCCATACTGATTGTTCCAAGTAGCAGTTATTTAGTAGAAGGATTTTTCAGTGTTTTAATTTAAACTACTATTTAAATTATTGAAATAGTTATAATAGCAAGTAGTCACTATTAAAACTAGTCTTTATAATATTAAATGACAAAGCAATTTCTCATAATTTCTTCCTAACATTCATTTGATGGCTGTAAAATAACTACCTATTTTTCTTACCCCCTTAACTGTTTTTGTAAGTGGTAATTATTCTTGTGGAATTTGGAAAATGTGATATTAAAGATCTAGAAAAAAATTCATCATGTTTTAGTTAATGGGAGCAAAAGTCTTCTTGCTTTCGTTAAGAATATACCTTGTTTTACATTTTTAGAGGCAGAATCTTGTGCCTGTTTGTTGAAGCTAACTGCCACCAGATGGTGCTTTTTCATTCTTTGTAGAATAAAACAACTTTTTTTCTCTCTGTTTACAGTGAGATAATATTGGCTATAATATTTAGCAAATTAAATTGACAAAAATAAAACGGGACATTAGAATAATATGGAAGTTCTTGCTGTAGTAGACAGATAGCTATACAAACAAGACAAAACTCATTACTGGCTTTATGAGTACTCACTGAGCTTTATAGTGTTCTTTATTTCCCTCCTTCTCATCCTTAGACTATGGTGGTTAATAGTTTCTTACAGTTGGCAGCATTTAGGTACCTAGATTATTTAAGGTTCTCCATATATAGAACCTCTGGTCTTATACTTCTTGGTGCTAATTATTGCACCTTTCATTGGATGCTTACTTCAGTGTTTTATCTAAAATGTATCTAAAATTGCTTTCTTAATTCTATGAAGTCCTAAGGGTGGGAAAAAACCTTATTTATAAGGTTGCCCTGCAAATATAATAGGAAAAATGAAAACATAAGATGTGTGCTTTCTTGGGTTATTTTTCCCCATTTTATGTCTTGTTTCCATTACCTTTGGCACTGTTCCCCCAACTCACATCCTGTACTCAATAAGGAATCTGCATTTTACAATATCTCCATTTTTGTTTTGATGGCTTTTTAGCATAATCTCAGCTTCATTCCATTGTTTGAAGAGAGCTAGTAATATAAAATTCTACTAAGTCAATGAAAATTGCTTTTTAAACAAATTAATATAGACATATTGGCATTCATTTCCTATGTAGAAGACTACTTAAAAATCCATATATTTTTAATTCTTACTTCAACCAGTTTACATTGTCTAGGAAACCAGACTACTCTTAGAATTCTAGTCTGATATAATTTAGTAAAGTACTAGAGAACCATACTTACTTATTGACTGGCTTTCAGTTAGTTGAGGAGCAGAGAAAATGTTTGCTTTTAACCACTTAAACTTCATTAAAAATTGTATGTTTAAACCTAAATTACCTAGGGAATCTCCTGTCATTTATATATCCTAAATCAAACAATTGGGCCCTTCTCTTTGGAAAAGTTTTTTTCTGACTGTAGATTCATTGGGGTAATTATTTATCCCTTTAAAGGAAGATGAAGTATTCACCTGGACAGTCATGAGCAGCTCTCATATGATAGGGAATAACTTTATAGTTATAAGTTATAAGACAAGTCTGATGGGGAGTTTGTATTTTCAGATAACTAAAATGGCAATGTTTTCTTTTTTCAAATTAGGTAATAAAATTGATTTGGAAAAGGAGAGACATGTTTCCATTCAAGAAGCAGAATCGTAAGTGTGACACACCCCTATGCACCACTCCCGTTGCTTTCCAGAAGAAAGTCTTCCTCTTTCTATAGTGTGCTTCACTATTTAGGTGTTACTCAAAACTCTTAAAATGGATTGAGCTGTTAGATTCAAAGAAGCATGTTTACATTGGTAATTTCTAGATTTTTGGCAACGTTTAAAGATATTTCATTTTCTCTTCACCTCTAGATTCAGTGAAAAATACAAGAATGATGTAAAAGAAAGCTATCATGATGAACTAGGCACTTAAAATATTTGAGTTCTAAATTAATGTATACAAATGTCAAGTCTTGGGTTGGAGATTTAGCTCAGTGGTGCTACTGCCCGCCTTACAAGTGCAAGATCCTCAGTTCGGTCCCTGGTACCAAAAAAAAAAAAAATGTCAAGCCTTGTTATGTTGGTGTTATTTAAAATTTGGTTCACTGTCCTCAGAGGTTGAATAGCTATATTTACTGAGCTTGGATAAATTACTAATTTGCTAAGATAAACTAGTATGTCACTGAAATTGCTACTATAAAAAATTTTTGAATGTTTTATATTAATCACTGATGTTACCTTTTTTTTAAGGTATGCAGAATCTGTGGGAGCAAAGCATTATCATACCTCAGCCAAACAGAACAAAGGAATTGAGGAACTTTTTCTTGACCTTTGTAAAAGTAGGTATAGTCATATTTACTATGTTTACAAATAACTCTTTTCAAAGTGTTGATGTTTCTAAAATATTTTACCAGTTTCTATTAAAGATCACATAGATAATTTGTCACATCTACCTGTAATATTATTTACTTAATATTTCTTAATTCATGCTTAAAAATCTTAAATCTATACTGTAGCCCTGTTCTTAATCAGGCTATGAAATTAGGTGTGTAGTATATAGTCATAAAAAGTGAAAATAAAAATATATGTATAACTATTAAAGATGGAAGAATTTACAGATTAAAACACATTTAAGAGCTGTAACAAGCTGTTGCAATGATCCTTCTTTGTATCCTGATTTGACAAACTAATGAAACAAACATTTGTGAATGATTGGAAATATATGACCACCTGTTGGATATTTGATGATATTAAGATGTGTTTATTAGTTTTTTAGTCGTAATAGTAGTGTTGTAGTTATTTAAAGAGTTCTTTTTTAGAGGTAAGTATTAAAATAATTCATAAATAAAACTGTGTTAGGAGATGATTCAGAATAATGGTAGGGATGCTTAGGTGTATGGATAAAATTGGGTGATGGGTTTTCATTGTGCTGTTTTTTTCTACTATAAAAGAAGTATGTTTGCTGGGGATTTAATGCTCAGTAGCACCATGCCTGCCTTGCAAACACACAAGATCCTGAGTTCCATCCCTGGTGCAAAAATGTGTGTGTGTGTTTGAAAGTTTCTCTATTAAAAAAGTTTTCTTTTATTTTATTGAGTTTATTGGTACATTTTAGGTATACAGTACAATTACGTTCATTATTGGGATCTTGTACCTTTACATGACAGGACTTGGTTCTCATTTGTTTCCCCTTGTCCCTGCCCTTCCTTCACCCCCTCCTCCCCTCCCCATTTACAAACACTTTATTTCCATTTTTTTCATTTTCTCATATTTTTTTCTTTTACCTTATTACCTTTCCCCTACCCTTCCCATTTTCCCTACAACTTTAGCCCTTTTCTTCCTATTTCACATGGTTTTTAAAAGAGAAAGGAAAATAAGTTTTTATATAACCTAAAAGTCATTTCTCATAATACTAGGATACATATCATATTTAGGAAAGCCTAATCTATGGAACAGTGAATTGAAATAGCCATTGGAAAATTTGATTAAATTGGTTTCTCTTTAAAAAAATACATTCTTGTACAATCACAAATTTTAGATTAAATTTCAGTATTATGAAACTTCTGAGTCGCTCATAATTCTGGAGTAGTGATTATCTAAATAAGGTCCCTGATCAACAACATGAGCATCACTTGAGACTGTTAGAAATGCAATTTCTTGGCCCTTCCACAAACCTACTGAATCAGAATCTGGAGGTAGTAACTAGAATCTGTGTTGCTCTTTTATTGAGCTAACAGTGTTCAGTGTCCAGTGTTACATATAGTTTCCTTGTTGATTGAAAGTTGAAAATGACTTTTGTAGTTGCACACTGAAGTCACAGGAGAAAGCTCAAAGATTACTTTTCTAATAATTGTTCCTTTCTCCCTCTCTCAGGGATGATAGAAACAGCACAAGTGGATGAGAGGGCAAAAGGCAATGGCTCTAGTCAACCAGGAGCTGCAAGACGAGGTGTACAGATTATCGATGATGAACCTCAAGCTCAGAGTGGTGGTGGAGGGTGTTGTTCTTCTGGATAACTGTTCACACCTAAGAAATTGAAAAAACAAAACTGTGGATCATTGCCCTCAACGTGAAGACTGCCATATTTCAAGTCACATTATTTTACCAATGGAGTTATAGAATTAACAGTATTTTAAATTACATTTATAACACTGCAGAGACCTTAAGTGCTAAACTTAGTGGAGTTTGTGACCAGAGAATTGGCATTTTCTACAAATGTTAACAAAGCAATTACCAATGGCCTTTTTACATATTTTTTTCTTTAATGAGAAATAATATGCATGTAGAAAAGACCTACTTAAAGGCTTCATTTATATTCTTTTAAATCAGATCTTTATTTAATAACTTATATATGTTGTTGGAATGGTATGCATTTTTGCAGCCCTTTGTATTTTGTGGTAGTTTGAATTGTATCTCTCCTAAACAGCAAACTGATTTTGTTTTTGTTTTTAGTTAGCAGATACCTGAAGTACTATTTTTGCAGGGTTTGCACAGATTAATGAGAAAATATGCATGTAGAAAAGACCTACTTAAAGGCTTCATTTATATTCTTTTAAATCAGATCTTTATTTAATAACTTATATATGTTGTTGGAATGGTATGCATTTTTGCAGCCCTTTGTATTTTGTGGTAGTTTGAATTGTATCTCTCCTAAACAGCAAACTGATTTTGTTTTTGTTTTTAGTTAGCAGATACCTGAAGTACTATTTTTGCAGGGTTTGCACAGGCCCCTAACTGTCTACTACTTTGATATAATCTGTATACATCCGGTATGCTGAGCTGGTAAAATACATTGTAAATAACATATTAAATATTTTATCTGCTTTTACAAGCGCGAGGTGCAAAAATATATGTATAGTAGCCTCATTGACTGTAAAGTGAATTAACATTTGTTGATGATGCCTAAGCTTTTTGACTCTAATATAAAGATCATCACTCCCCCTTCACTTTTGTCTTAACTTGAAAGTGGTGTGTTTAAATTTTCACACATACTTTACTTGAAATACTGCTGTTGTCACATTTTTTGCCTCTATAAGTTCATCTGATGATTGAACAGCAGCATTTGCCTTTTGGTTTGGGTTTTCTGTTTTTGTTTTAATAAAAAGAGATGGCTTCTGATTTTGCTTTAGAATGGTTATCTTGGAAAAATTTGAGTGGAGCATGCTGAGATTCACTTCTGCAACAGCTTTGGTTTTCTCTTAGGCTTTCTATGTAATGGGTTCCCTGGCATAAGAAGAGAGAACAAGGTTCTGGATAATAGCCACTCAACAAGGCTCATTTCTATAACATGTTAGTGGTAATTTATGCTCCTGAAGTAGCACTTTTATATCCCTATGAGCAAGTTCTATTTGTTCATTGCTTGTCAGAGATGAACACACAAAGTTTTGTTCATTTTAAAAGTGCTGTCCTGAGTTTCAGTGGAGGGAAGCATTTCATATAATATAGTTAGAGCAAACACTGGAAAGATTTGTAAAATTATATTCTCGTGTACATTGTAAATTAGCCCTTCATTAGATTTTTTTTTCTTTAGCATAGAACTAAACTTAAATTTGTTCATTTGATATAATCAGGCACTGCTCACAAAAGGAACACAGATTGTGGAAATTAACATAAATTGTTCTAATATATATATTTTTTCATTTCTGTCATGCTTGGAAAATTAGTAAATGTTATGTCCAAGATACAATGGAATGGTCCTTGGATTTCCTTCTCATAAGCAGTAGTATGTAATGAAGCTGTTAGCATGAGCAGTTAAGATATATGGGGTTTAGTTATTGCAGAAGTACTACATATTGTTGACTTAATAATTTAGACCTGCCCAAATGGGTTAAAAGTTGAATGACTTGACACCTTGATGCTGTGATATTTGAAGTTTAGCTTAGTATTAAGTGGTCTGTGGCTCACGCTTTCCATACTTTTAATTATTGTCCTCGCCAAACTCAACACACTGACCTCTCTGCTGCTTGTGTTCAAGGATGGTGGGAATGGGAAGAGTCTGGGAGAGAAGTAAAAACTGTCTTCTTTTATTAGATGACTGTACTCTGTATAGCCTCTTGGTTTCCTGTGAAGTTAGTGTTTATGTGGGGATGGAAGAGGCAGTGAGAATCATGAGTCTCACAGGAAAATTCGTTTGTGCCTTTCTAGCTCTTTATTATTATTTTTTCTGGTACTGAGGATCAAACTCAGGACTTGCTAGGCAGGCATGGCACCACTGAGCTAAATCCTGGCTTTCCTAGCTCTTTTAAAGGAAATAAAAGAAGGCTTTGCTATTATTAATGTTATAGATGGGAAATAAGTTCTTATCATTGGAGTGAAATATATTTTTTATTTTTTTAATTAGAGAAATTGGCTTTATTTCAAAAGAATGTTTATAAAATCTGATAATTGAACTGCTTTTTCTTTTCACTCTTTCTTAATGTATTATCAATAAGAACCTCTGCTCCAGAGAGTCTAGATGATAATTGGTGGAGTATAACTGTTACTTTATTTTCTTGTGGATTTCTATGTATTTTTCATAACCTGAAGCATTTCATGCTCCTTTTAAAAAACCTATCAGGGCAGTTTAATAGCAACAAGAGGTAATACGTTGTATTTGTTTTTTGCTTTGAAGCTCTCAAGATCTTTAAGAAAAAGCCAGGTGAAAGAGTAATGAAAGAGTATCACCCAACTGCAGTATGTATACAAAAGAAAGTTAGAGATGACAAACCAAGGCTGGGGAAATTTTCCGGATCCTTTTCTACATCTTCCCAATATATCTTTTGTGTTCCTGTCCCAATAATTGTACTAATAGGAACATTGTTGTGTAATAGAAGTAGTAGGTTGAGTTAATAGTTTTCCAACTATACACTTAACATATATAGTATATACACTGAGTGTATACTATAAGTGTAAATGTATATACATTTAACATGTATAGTTGAAACTTGGTTTACAATAGTAATTAAAAATACCTAAATATTATGTTTAAAGTATACAATCATTATTTCTATAATGAGTATTCTGTTTCATTTGACCTTGTGATTACAGGGGAAGAATATTTTTTAAAATGCATAACATAGAGCCAGGGATGTAGCTCAGTGGTGTCTCGCCTGCCTGGCAAGCACAAGGTCCTGAGTTTGAGCCCTGCTACTAAAAATAAATAAATAAAATGTATAACATAACAGTTAGGAGGTAAACAGCAATCTGAAAAGAAAAAAAAGCAAAAGCATCATTAGGAAATGTGAATGTTTGAATTTGTCTTGTCTAGGATATCTCCTGAGAATACCTTTAGTCTATAGCTGTTACTGCATTATTTTTCTTATATTAGTCTTATATTAGTGCAGTTCATTTTCTTTAGCATCAATGTAAAAAAACAACAGTCATTTTAGGATTTTAGTAATAGAAGACAAAATTGAAATAGAAAAGGGAGATGAGAATAGAATTGAAGTCAAGTAGATATAAAACTTTACAAGCTGATAGTTTTTAAAACCATGTTGAAATCTAAATTGCTTTTATTACATAGTTTCTAAATAAGGATGGATATGCATTGAGCCAAATATTTAGAGCATTTTTTAAATGAGATTGTGATAATTTTAATACATAATTTGTAATTTTCTGTATTACAAAGTGATGCCAAGAATGCAGGTCATTGGTCTTGTTTGTTTATTGGCCCCAGATAATATAATTTACCCTTATATAACCACTTATATCTAGAAGTAGTTTGATCTGTGCCATTAACCTTTAAAATTTACACTTTGATTTTATGTTATGTATGTAGTTTTCAGTTTTCTTTGTAGGTACAGTGTGAGAAAGAAGGGGAATACATTTGTGACCATTTAAGATGTTGAGATCTAGAGAAGGATGTAAGTAGTGTTGTAGGTGATCAACAAGAGGCTAACATCTAAAGAAAAAGAGACTGAGTAGATCCTCAAGTACTGTTCTGAAGTACAATATTCATTACCTAGATTTTAATAATCAAAAGCTGTAATTCACTAAGCTACATTTGTTTGATTTTATCATAGGCATCAATTCTAAAGTGTTTTTAATCATGTATAACAGTAATCTGTTTGGTATCATGAACCAAAATTCATGCTGTGCATATGCTCTGACCTTGATGGCCTTTCTCATTTCAAGAAACAAATTGATTACAATTTTGAGCAAAATTTTCCTAATTGTACTTGAGTATTTATAATGAGAAAATTCAATTTTTTTTTTTTTTTTTTGGGTACCAAGAATCAAACGAACTCTCATGACCTTGCACTTGGAAAGCAGGTGTAGCACCACTGAGCTAAATCCCTGGCCCCTAGAAATACTTTTAAGAGTTTCTAATTTGGGCTGGAAATTTAGCTCAGTTCTGCTGCCCGCCCACCTCGCAAGCACAAGGTCCCAAGTTTGGTCCCCAGTACCAAAAAAAAAAAAAAAGTTTCCAATTCACAGCAGAAATACCTGTCTTCTAAAGAAATACCACTTTATTTTGATAGACCTTTTAATACTGCTTGTGCTGTCCCAAGATTTATTTATAATCTCTTTGGTGAAGAGCTCTGTGCTGTTGTTAACTTCTCGTTTTCTCTTCAGTAAACACGGCAAGTTAATACACTGTACACTCAGTAAGGCTCTTACTCTTAATATATCTTGTGCGCTTTAGAAACCTTGCACATACTTCCATTGTGTCACATTGAAGTTCCAAGTTGAGATGGGGCTGCCTACTAGATGGCCTTAATTCCCACTGTAATATTTCTCACTCTTGCTTCTCATAGTTAATAATTGTATCATCTGTTTCTTACTAAGTACTTAAGAAAAAACTAATTTCCTTAAATGTGAACATGAGTAGAGCAATGAGCCTAAGTGAAGGCATAGCAAACATGAAAGTATGGTAATGTTGGAAAAAAGACAATGCTATTTGTTAAACTTAATGGGAAGCTATTTTAAGAAAATATATGTAGTATTACTAGAAATATAGAAGTTTTCTTGTTTTTATTTAATTCTATGTGGATGAATTCTAGGAAAAAGTATTTAAAAGTGCCTTTTGGTGTGCTCTCCAAAATGATAACTATTGTTCTGTGGTGAACTCATTTACCTTTTTGTTATGCACTTATATGCATGTATTTAGATGTAGAAACACATGGTCTTTTGGTTTTTAAATTTTATGTAAATTTTGTCTTACTATGCATATGTTTTGCAACTTGCTTTTTCTCTTCCCAACATGTCCAAGAAAGAGTTCAGTAAATACCTGCCTTTTCCATTTTATTTTCTCCCACATCTCTTCTGTGTTTTTTTGCTTTTTTTCCTTTTCTTTATTTTTTTTTTTACAAACGAACTCTCATGACCTTGCACTTGGAAAGCAGGTGTAGCACCACTGAGCTAAATCCCTGGCCCCTAGAAATACTTTTAAGAGTTTCTAATTTGGGCTGGAAATTTAGCTCAGTTCTGCTGCCCGCCCACCTCGCAAGCACAAGGTCCCAAGTTTGGTCCCCAGTACCAAAAAAAAAAAAAAGTTTCCAATTCACAGCA